GGACAGAAGCAAACCTCTGGCATATTTATAAATGTGTTCTTCAGCTGATTATGAACAGTTGTTACCTGACAATGTTTTGCCAAGAACATTTTGCTAAGCATAGTATACACGTGCCTCTGAAATTTGTTAGTAACTAACCTGTTTTCATGAGTAAATCTTTGATGTGGTTGTCTATATATTTTTAAAGAAACTGTATTTAGTGAGACATTCTCTTTGTTGCATGATCACATTAATAGCTTAACTACGACTTTAAATAGAGAATAGCTTAGCAAAAATATGAAAAAATACAAGTCAGATAAGATTATAAAGCAAGAGATCTGAATCATTTGTTTGTTGGACAGGAATGAACTTACCCAAGTGCTGTTCTTTGGGCCTTGTGTCAGGACTGGGGAAGTGCAGGGGCAAAGATGATTCACAGAAATAATCAAACCAGTATCTAGGGAGGGAGGGAAGGGAAGAGGGAAGGAAGGGGAACATACACAATACATCTTTAAAAATTACTATGTGGCAAATTCATTAAATAGTAAGTTTCTGGGGGAAGTTCAGAGAAGAAATGCTATATATTATTACATTTTAAAGGTTTATATTTGCTAAATTTAAGATTTATGAAGTTGAGAAAAAACATTTGCCTCGTTAAGATATCACATTGACGTGAGTGTTTCTGAATATTTATCTAGAATTCAGGTTAAAAATCAAAGGCAAGGGCAAAACATTATCATTAAGTAGAAGAAAAAGAGGTGAAGTTTTATGGGGTTTTTTCTTGCTTTTTTTTAGGCTGCATTAGTTTACCTATAAACATGTGGGATGTCCTCCAGAGCCATCCTATTAGAAGGCTGATTACTTATCTTAAGTCTCCTTTCTTGGTACATCATACTTTTTAGGGCCTCCATTTTTGAACCTGTCATAATTATCTCATCATAGTTGAACAAGTAAATCATTTTACTGCTAGGTCATACATTAGTTGTTTTGTGCAAAATGATATTCGCCACCTTTTCTATTTTGGGGGCCAGTGTGTGTGTGTGTGTGTGTGTGTGTGTGTGTGTTTGGTTGTTTTTTGTTGTTTTGTTTTGTTTTGAGACAGAGTCTTGCAATGTAGTTCAGTGTGACCTTGAACTTACTCTGTAGCCCAGATTGGTCTTGAACTCCCAGCAATCCTCCTATCACACTTTCTAAGTGCTGGGATTATAGTTGTGTACCACCCCATGCATGGCTTGCTATATACAACCTTTATTATCCATACTTGTCATTTAAATGTAATTATTCCTGACTTCTGGGCTCATTTATAACAAAAATAAGTTTTTAACTCAAAATTTTTTTAAGAATTGCCACAATTTGAGTTATATGTGCTGAACTCAATTCCCAGTAAAGGGTTTCATTAGTATTTGAATCCATGGTGACAACTCCGAGAAAAGAAATTCACTTTCTAAGTAAAGATTTCTGTAAGAAGAGGACAAGAACTGTCTGTATATCTATGCAGGGCTAATAAAGCCTAAATTCTCAATCATTGGTAATTATTATTATATGTGTGTTTTTCATATCTGAAGTGTGTGTACTTCTCTTAGTTTTAAGCAAAACAAACATATAACCATACTGATGACTTCTCTTAACCTATAGAATGCCCACATAGGAAATTTAAGTATCCAGATTACACTATAATAATTCTTCCACAAAATTTTATGAGTTGAAAAAGTTCTCTAGAAGTCAAATATTTTAACAGCCTCAAGCTCTCAAAATATCTCAACCCCGAAACCAAAAAATCTTTAAAATGAGTATTGTTACTATAAAACTCTTCTGTTCAAGTCAGGTCAGTTTTGTTTCAGGTGGACTTACTAACACGCATGGTATTCCACATAAAACAGAGGTATTTGATGGTCTCTCCTATGATTCTTATCGTATGTGCTATGATATGAAGATGTGACACCAACAGTGTATCATAATAAGATAGAACCGATAGCATAGACTATTAACATGATTTCCTTCACACAGTGAGTCAGAAGAAAAACCCAGATTGTGCTAGGAAACTTCCAGCAATGGAAAAATATCATCTGACGCTTCCATGACAAATAAGAAATCTAGAAAGTACATGCCTCCAGGAATTGATACACATAGTATGCTCAGTCACTCCAGAAAGCTTTAAAGAGTATGTGCCATCTATTAAGTAAGGCGAGAATTGTGATTGAGGAAACAATTCCTCCAAATCAATGAATGCAACAAATTACAGTTATTCAGAGACAGTCACTTAGGTGTAATTACTCACTACTGCTATTGTTGGTCATTAGTGAAGCTCATGGACAGAAGCTGGCTTACTTCATCTCTCCCCTCCGCATCTTCTTCAACTGTCACTGCCTTCTTACCCCCAACCACTCGACATTTTCAGTTTCCAAAGTAGGGTGACTGATTCCACTCGGTTTGCCTCACCTTTCCCAATTTTAGACTAAAAGCCCTCGCGCTGGAAACCCATTAGTCACAAGCCAATTGGGACAAGTGGACACCTTGAATAAGCCAAGAGCTCTGGAGGGACTTATTTATTCCATGCCTTTTGGGAATCGCCTTGTAATTATGAAATATTTTTCCGGTCAATGTAACAACTCTCAGACAGGGATTTTAATCATAAGACCACGAGGCTTCTTGTTCTGAACTGTTTGGAAAAGAATGGCTCTGAGGACTTAAAATATGCTAATCATGGACTTGGCTCATTACTTTTCTTAAACCGCGTAGAACTAGCCTTCCTTCATGTATATTATGCATACAATTAAATTGAGGGAAATGAAGCCAATCGATTGAATAGGCTTGCTAGCACTACAATGGACATTTGTGAAAAAAAAAAAATGTGTATGGTGTTCCTTGCAAGTGCTAAGAAAACGTTGCTTAAGAAGGCTGGAATTTGAAAGCCTTTTTTGCTGTCAATCAAAAAGAAGTACTCCCTGGCAGGAAAAGAAGTTCTAGGTAGGACTTCTTGTTGTATACAGATTTAATTAAACAAAAATAAAAACATAGACAAGCCCTGTAGGGCAGTCACCAGGCATGTGGCTTTGCCGTGATAGGCAGAAAGCTTAATGGTCCTGGCACAGAAGGATCCTGTTACAATTTTGCCTGCCTGTGGGGGGAGGAAAGCAGAAGAGCAGGAGGTGGTTTAGAAGCCTGTAGTCTGGTTAGTAATAGAGCTTTGTGGTTTTGCCTGGAGACAGGTCTAAGCAATTCCTGGTTAATTGAAATTAATCTGAAGCTCCAATTTTCCCAATTCCCACAACCAATGTTTAGGTTTGTAATTATTCTACCCTTCATGAGTTGTTCTTGCTCTGCAAATACTAAACAGAAAAATGAGCTGTGGGTTAGAAAGGGGCAGGGATTCTGCACTCCAGCTTCCTGTGTGGGGGAAAGAAAAGAGCATGTTTTCGTCACTCACTCAGGAAAGGAAATGCAGAGGCACAAAGGCCCTGGACGAGATGGTGTCGCTTTACCACACTTGCCTCTGAGGAAGGGAGCACAGCAGAGGAAACAGGTGACAAACCCAGCAGAGCAGTGGGGCTGATTAAACTTCTGTCCTCTCTACTGTAGCCCCTAGTTGAGTGCACTGGGCAAGGGCTTCTCTAGGATCCGGTTTTTTCATTCCTTTCCTTAATGGTGGCAAGTAACAGCCGCAGTGTTGCTAATAAGATTAAAGATATCAAGGGTAAAGGGAGGGAAGAGAGGAGAGGACTTCAAAAGATTTAAGAAGAGTCCCCCACTTGTACCAAATACCCGCAATGAATGTAAGCGTATGTCCCAAACATTAGCTAATCACAATAATAACCAACAGTAATGGTTAAAATGGGGAAATGAGATCTAGAGATGAAGGAAGGGGGATGAAAGGGAAGGGGAAGGACTGAAAAGAATCAGGTACATACATTAAGTACGTGCACCTGCTCACTAAGATGAATGTAAACTTCGTCTACTGCAAACACATACTAACAAAATAAAAAAGATTCAATCATTTTTTATTGAGAAAGAACCTAAAACCAAGTTTGAAATGTTCCCATGGATATTTTGAAATGAAAAAAATTATTAAAGAGAAAACTGTGTTTTAAAAAGCAAATTTCTGGGGCTGGCGACTTAGTACAGCAGGTATAAGTAGCTGCCTGGTAAGTGTGAGGTCGTGAGTTCAATCCCTGGTACCCACTCCCCCCGCAAAATTCTCCAACAAGCAAATTACCTCAATTTTTTCCCACTTGCAAAAACACTTTATTCCAAATTTGCTAAAGGAGGCGACGTTTTTTCTGAGACCACATATCAGTCATAATTCTGTGTTCTGAAACAATACATAACTTTGTGGCATAAACTGAGTTTGGAAATTGAATTCATATGCTACCCCAGGGACTGATTAACTAAAATTTACTCTCAGTCTTTTCATCTGTGGCAGCAGTTGGCAGATGATAGGCTGAAAATTGAGCCAGCCCTGCTACCTGGAGTTTTGTGTGTTTTCATGTTGTCTGAGACAGTTTTGTGGCTACAGGGGCATATTGCTTACTTGAGACTAAAGCAGTCTAGTTCACAAAGCTAAAAGTATTTATTCTCTGGCCTTATGTTACCGATTTTCCACATCTTAGTCCTTAAGAAAGAATAATAACACTCTGGCTTATTTTTTGGAAAAAATGAATAAAATAATATACAAGGCAGAACCTATATATTGTCAGGATTCAATAAAGAGCAACTGTTATTACCACACAGAGCACTGAAATCTAACCCTAATACTGCTTATGTAAGCTTTGCTTGGTCAATTTTGGTCTTTTCCATCTTCTCCCTACCTAGTCAGTTCAGTCCTAAAGCAAAATATGAGCTTGACTTCCTTTAACTTGGATTAAAGTAACTGGCCACTTCAGTGCACCTGTACATTTAGGCAATTTCCATGACCTTATTCATCCAAAGTATAGGGGTTTTTGTCCTATTGTTTGGGAATATTTGCTTTGTATTTCAGTGACTGCACAGTAATGATACAGAGGGACAGACAATTCTAGCACAAATTCATTTTCAATTTTTGATTTTTATTTAGAAATAATAAAATAAGACATAATATATAAAAATATGTACAATCGATGGTTTGTGCAGTACAATAGGAAGACTGGAGATACAAAAAGATGGCAAATGGGAAAATAATAACTAACATGATTGTCAAAGGCCAAAATTGTTCAACTCACTGTACCCCAGAGCTGAAAGCTCATGATACTAGAAAGGAAATTCTAGTTTGCTAAAGGTTGTTGGTGGGGATAAAACTATGCAACACTTTTAATTTTCCCCTTGACATTATTAGACACAGAGTGAAAAACAGATCACCGTACTCAGAATTAGCTTGTTTGCCTTTACAAAGTGGCTTATTAAAAAAGATAAACTCATTTTATTATCTGCAAGAAGAACATGATTTAGGGGACAGAGCTCTTCAAATACACACTGAGATCTGGGATGGGAGTATGCAGGGGAGAAAGGAAGTAAAGGGAAGAAACAATGCATTAATAGAATGAAAACCAAGTAAAACAAACTTCCTGGAGGAATTTGGAAATGGCTACAGTGCTATAGTGACATCCTTAAAATGTCTGATTCAAGTATAACTCTTAGAGGGATAGAAAACTATTCCTTTCTCAATAATCAAAATAGAATTCGCTTTGTCTACCTCTTATTTAAAAATAGAATAATCAGGAATCTACACCCTCCCAAATATAATGCCCATCCAGATATGGGCAGACATTCTTTAAAAGGGAATACATCCTAAGGAAATGCATCAAGGATTTGCTTGCAATAGAGAAGCAACACGCATCTGGGAATCCACCCCAGATATTCAAGGTGAGTCCCTTCCTTCTGCATTCTAGTGACAGGTTTGCATTAGTTAAGGAGACTCAGTCAATAAAGACAATATTTTGAAGGTAAAATGCTGCAATAAGTGCCAGCATTACCTGTGTCTTGGCTCTTTTAACAACAACAACAACAACAAAATAGCCATTTAAAACTTGTAATTATTAAAATGCTAGTAACTACGAAAAGCTTTCAAATGAACAGTCCATGCTGAAATAAATAACAGGAGAACCTAGCAATATGAATTTTATAAGGCTGGTAAATATTTGCTGAAACCATGCTAACCGGTAGCATATAGGTATTAGCTTTCAGAAATCGTTGCTCAGAAATTATACTTTCTATGGTAATTTTTTTTCTTTTTTTTTTCTTTTGCTTTACACACTTCTATTTACATTTGGCTTTAAATATGAAAATATCTGATAAACTTTATAAAATGTACACTTTTAAAAACATAGCTTCTGCAAAATTCTCTTGAAAAAAGAAAAACAAACCTGTGCACCAGAAATTTTAGATTTTATTTCCTACTTTATCAGAAATAAATTGAAAGATTTCCCTCCCCCTTCTTGTCCTTGTACCCACCCCCTTCAAACATTTCAGTTCTTTTTAAGTGGTAGCACGGTGTGTTTGGGGGAGGGCCTCCTGTGTGGTCACCCCCATTCTCCTCTGCATCTTCATTTAATTTATATGTCATTGAATACTCTTTGGTTTGATTATTTTCCTTTGCAAAACATCATAATAGCAGCAGCTGAAGCCCTCAATAGCCTCTCACAGTCAAAGGCCAAATTATTGTTCATTCACTAAATTCTCTCATCCCCATTTCCTCCAACTCATTAAACAACTTTCCAAATCTGCCTTTAAATTTGGATTATAAGTGACATCCACTTGCTTAACCTCTCTGTCTTGGTTCCATTGAAAAGAACCCATGGATTTTAAACTCATCAACATGGAAGGCTGAAAACAGCAGAATCTGTCATACTCCTGCAGGCACGGCATTCATACATGGCTGTTCCCAAACCAGATACCATCACAAATGTAAATTGACAGAGTACAGGATTCTAGAACAAGCTGTTTTTTAATGGCATACTAGCATATAACACCACAAAAGAGTTGATTTTGAGACTCTAATTAAAAAGAAAAGTCAGCAACCCCAGAATTCACAAGTAGGGAACTTTAGACCAAAAGAAGAATTCCATTATTGAGCTGGGGGAGAGAAGCTGTTTCTAACAAGGCAGGCAGCCAAGCAGGAGAGACTTCTTAAAAACAGTGTGTCCTTTGAAACCTGCTCTAGAGCTTCACAAAAAGTAATGTTTTGGCTCACAGTGGTCATGCATATGCACACATAGAGGGAAATAATCCTTTTGGGCTATTATCACATTTACTTGTGATTGCATTACATGATTTTGTGACTATCTTTGATCCTAGAATACTGAAATGTTCTCATTTCTGCCCTCTGCAATACAAAAGAAGCAATTTTCCTCTGGCTTGTGAATACTTGAGCTAAAGTGTTGCATCAAAGAGGTTTGTCTAACACCTCCCTATTACCTTCTACATCATCATCTTAGCCTGCTCCCACACTGCAGGTCTCCCTCCAGACAGGCTGATCAAAGAAACAAACCAGGAAGCCAGGCATGGTATCTTTTCTAAGATGATGCCAATCTATAAACGTCCTGACAGTCAAGGCTATGAATTCAGGTGCAAATGTTCCTTTGGAGGATGCCAGAATGCAGGCAAAGTCCAACAGAGACCTTATCTTATGGAATAAATGTTGGAATGTGCATAAAAGGGGAAAGTCCAGACAAATCTAAGAGCATATCATTTTAGACACTAACCAGGAGGGCACTAACTACAGGAGAAAACAAAAGCTGTGAATCCTGGGTGATGTGTGTGGATTATACTTTCACTGTCTTCGTCCTCTTCCTCTTCCAATAAGAAAGATGCTTGAAAAAGACGGAATTTATAAAGAACTACACTTACGGGACTCTTGTTTCTGATGATCAGTTTTCTAAAAAAGGTGCAAATGAACAGGCATTTCAAGGTCTTGCTGAGGTTCAAAGTTATTGTCTCTTGATTTCAAGGCAACCCATAGGGCTTTCTTTCTAGTATAAGCTCCATTGTGCAAAAATGTGCATTATCTTTGGTATTCATTTTAGGTAGTCTAACTTAAAATTTGAGATAACCCATTAATATCCTGGAGAGAAAGGAAAAAAACCCAGAGGCTACCATTTGGCTAGTGTTACATAATGCCCTTATGTAACCAAACAGAGAAGAGAGAGAGAGGACAGAGAGAGAGAGAGAGAGAGGACAGAGAGAGAGGAGAGAGAGAGAGAGAGAGAGAGAGAGAGAGAGAGAGAGAGAGAGAGAGAATCAATTGTAGCAAACAGATTACTGGCCTCAAAAAAATCAGGCTTTCATTTTGGCAGTTAATAGCCAAATACTTGCTACTTTGCAGTGCATCATGAGCTTTCAACAAAGTTCAACACTGACTTTTAAATTATATAAAAGAAAAACTACACTGCAACAAAAATACAATTTGTGTTCATGTAGTTAGCAGCTTTTCAAAAATTAAGGCAAAGTCTTGCCTTTGTTATGCCATTAAAAACATTCTTGTTCCCTAAAGAGAAGCATTCTGGATAAGTCAAATACCCAACCAAAGCTTGCCTGCAAATTCAAGTTTTGTAAAAACACAAAACAATACATTAAAAATCCATAACTTATTCTATAACATATATGTGCCATTGAGTTACACGGAGGCCTATTGAGTGCTTGACTTCATCATCGGGTTTACAGTCTTTCTCAAAATCACTCGTGCTAGCCTCGGTCTCTTGTGGCCACCTGCCTTGTCCCACCTCTGACCAGTACCGTCGTCTGTAAAACTGTTTTGGGCCTCTGACCAACAGACTGTGTAGTTACGTAAATATTCCAGAGAATGAGCTAGTCAGTCATATCTCCGATTCTCGCCGTAAGGGTCTGGGCTCTAGAGGTACACTTGCCTGGTTGTGAAGGTCGATGTCAGGAGGTGTGTCTGTACTGGTGCTTTCTGGAACCCCATTTTCACTGTCATCTTCCTCTTTGCTTGTAAGGGCAACTTCATTTTCATAGCAAAATGAGTTAGCATTTGAGAGAATATATTTCTTTTCTGCTAAGTCTCTGGCACTACAAAGGGGAGTGTTGGGTACTTCGTAAGTCTTATGAAACCTCGAATAGTCCACTTTATAGTAGTGCTTCTCCTCAAAGAGCACTGGCTCATAGCGGTGGCCCCAAAGGATCTCGTTGGCCAAATAAGAACTACGACACTGTGTTGTCATGGCAGTGGCTTCCACCATGCCTTCTAGTATCACAACAATTTCAAAGTCTGCATTATCAATGTCCTGCTTGCTCAAATCATATAAAGGACTATCTTCATCTATTTCATGGACAATAGTGATTGGGGATACCAGAAATATACGGTCAATTCCACTGTCAAAGCCAACATTGATGTCTATTTGATCCAAGGGAATGTATTCCCCTTCAGAAGTAATTCTGGATTTGAGGAGCTGGGCTCGAACATGAGCTTCTACCAAGTGGCTTTTCCGAAGGTTGCCTACTCGCCACATCAAACACAGCTTGCCATCTCTCATGGCAATCACAGCATTGTGACTGAAGACAAGAGTCTCATTTCTTTTCTTTGGCTTTGCCATCTTTGCCATGACGGCACCAATGATAAAAGCATCAATAATGCAGCCCACAATTGACTGGAACACAACCATGAACACCGCAATCGGGCATTCATCCGTGACACATCGGAACCCATAGCCGATGGTTGTCTGGGTCTCAATGGAGAAAAGAAAGGCAGCTGTGAAGCTGTTGACCTCAGACACACAGGCTTTGCTCTCCTTAGATGCATCCAGATCTCCATGGAGCAAAGCTATCAGCCAAAACACACAGCCAAAAAACAGCCACGAGAGAACAAAAGCTAGGCAAAAGATAACCAGCATCCACCGCCAGCGAATGTCCACACACGTAGTAAAAATGTCAGCAAGGTACCGTTGTCCCTTTTCCCCAACGTTGATGAACTGAACATTACAGTGGCCATCTTTCTTCACAAAGCGGCTCCTACACTGTTGCCGAGTGTGGACTTTACTTTTCCCATTCCCAAAGCCATTGGCAACTGCCATGGTGGCCAACTTCATGCCGTCTTCTTCCGAAGAGACAATGCTATAGCGGTTGGTTCGCACACTGCCCATCGCTTCTGCTGAGGACGCCAGTGCTTCTGCTTTGGAAAACAGTCTGAGTTTTTGCAAAACTCTTTGGAGAAACAGTTTTGAATGTTCAGTGAGGACACGCACACACAAAAATGAAGAGAGATGGGTGTCTCCAAGAGCCTCGGGATTCTACCAAGGTTGGTTTACTGACATGCAGAGCTACCTTAGTAACTCTTAGCTGACATCAAGAGAACATATCCTGCAAGAAAAGAGATTTGGGAATTACAAAAGAAATCTATTTTAGTACAGACTTACTGTTTTAGGCAACAAATTTTATCCTAACAAAACCACAGAAAGTTATGTTTTGTAATAAATTGTAGGGGTTTTGGTTTCTTTCTCCCTTAGAAGGACTTTTTAAAATTCTAGTTAAAAGCACAGAGTTGTTAAGCATAGATGAGTTATCTGTGACAGTCACTCAACCAAAATTGAAGTCCTTTTTCCTTCACTTTTTTGCTCCTGACTTAGAATATTCTACTCTCCAGATCTGCCTCACAGCTCCATTCTCCTCATTTGTTTTTCCTACTTGCTAGGGTTTCAAGTCACTAAACAGAAGAATCACTTTCTCATTTTAAGACTTGTCCCAGAGCTTTTAGAACTAGGACATATCTAGACTACATTTCATGTAAGTGAAGCCTTGAGGTTAACTGAGTTACACATGCATCCTAGAAGACTATTGGAGCTCTTGATGACAAAGTTGACAACAGGAAACATAGACTATTTTGTTCCAGTGACGAAACTGAGCACCCAGCCCTTCAAATGAAATGGATACTGGATAGTGAAAGTCCTAACTTCTGGAAACTGTTTGGGCTTGCTCTATCTCTCCATGCACTGCAAGCAGCCACCGTGCAGAAATGTCTGATAGCATCTCTGTTAGTGCAAGTGATTCTGACTCGAAGACACAGATTTGCTCTGGGGGAGAGAGCAATTCTGTTGCCTAGCAATAAAAGTCCTGAAATTCTCCAGAGATGGGGCTTGCCATGTACAATGACAGATGAGGAAGTAAGCACCTTTGCGCCAAAGGACCAGGTCTTTAGCAGATTTAGATAAGGCACTCACTCATTCTATGTGGATCCAATGCTGTGTTCCTTCAAACAGAGACAACTTTGTAATCGTCGTAGCTCATAAATGCCAGTCAGCTTACTTTCACTTCAATCCCAGTTGTTTGATATAGGTTCCTATGGAGAAGGCACTCACCTCCACATAACATGAGCAAACAAGAGGTTTTCAGTCTTCTCTTATTGCCTCATTCTCCCCTAGGTTAAAAAAAAAAACTATCTACTTGCTTTAACTTTCCATCTTGGCTCCAAAGAAAATATTTTTTTCCTTGTCTAACAAATGCCTGTGTGTGGGGGGGAATCTATGGTGTTTCCTTTACCAAATGTATATAAACAAATCTAACATACCCTAGAACTAAAAAGATAAAGTGGTTCTCAGCTTTTCAAGCAATAATAAAATTTATGTCTTGCAAATAAGGGGAAAATGAGCAACTCATAGGGAGGATCAGAAATCTATGAAGCTCTGATTATGAAAACATCACTTTTTCTTTCTCCTCCAAATCACATGAAGGTTAAGCAGTTAACAGAACCATGCTCAGCCAGGCCAGTTGCACACAAATAAAGCAAATCATTTGTCCTGCATCCATGCATCTTTAAAAAAGAAGGAAGGTGCATTGTCTTTGAAAATGCCTTGTTACAGTCTCTTGACTTCTCCTTCTATATCCAAGTTATTATGCAAGAATGTGCCCCAACACATTTTTCCTGAGATTAGTCATCTGTGAAAATTGCAATGTGTGTTACATGTTGGCAGCTTTTGACACCTAAATGATGCCCGATTTGAAAGTGCTTTTGAATTACTTTATAAAAAGAAGTTACTGTGCTTTCTCAACCTTCCACCTGCTCAATGTTTTGTCTGCTTTGCTATGAAATTTGCACTTGGACCAAAGGAAAAAAGGATCTTATTCTTCAGGGTTCTAGATTCTGCTCTTAGAAAGAATTTTTTTTTAACAATGATTTCAGTTTTTTTGGCTCACACAAAACAGACAAGCATTTCTACAGAGACAGACACAGTAACAAAACATCAAATGCAGGTGTACTTTACCAAAGAGATGGGAGCTTTATAAAAGAATTCTGATTGATTTGGCAAACTTTTATTATTATAAAACTGACACCAATAAATTTCTTTTCTTTGATTCAAAATAACCATTTCATCAGTTACCATTAGGAGCCATGAGTATATTGTCCCAAACTGCTTGAGATTCATTTATGCACTATTTCTAGATTAGCAGGTAATAACTATATGAAATCTAAAGGCTGAATTATGACTTTCCAAAAATCTTGACCCCAGGACATTTGTTTGAATTCCACAAATCACACAATACCAGCTTCCTATGAATAGCTTTCCACATTTACAGTCTTGAAAATAGCCTGTATTGAACGACTATTATTGTCTTACTTCCAATGCTAATGACAGAATTTGTTCCATATATAAAGCATCATTTAGAAATTTTACCATTTTTTCCTGGAAAAGGAAAAAGAGGAGGTCCCCCCCCTTGGAAAAATGGAAATTTTTATCACTTCAAACAATTATACCCCCAAAGGGATTTACATGTGTATACAAGGGTCCATGCCTCATCTGAATTAAGACTTTTGGTGACTTGATGATATAGCAAAAGTCTAGAACTTACCAAGGTTTGGGAAGGTAACTGTCTTAATTTACCAGTAAGCCTGCCTATGCTGTTTACCGGCAACATGGCTCTGTGGATTTAGACAAGCAGAAAATTTCTTCTCCCCTTCCTCTCTCACTAGAAACAAGCAATGCATGCACATCTGGAAAAAGCTCTTATAAAAAAAAAAGTGGGGCTCCCATGCCACTTTATGCCAAATAATACCTGGAGAAAGAATTAATTAAGAATAGATGAAAATATTAAATGACTTGACTTTTTGAGAGCTATTGCTTTGAAGAAGAGATGCTTGATTTGATGAGTGATATATAAATTCCCCTTTGAGCTGAAATATTTCAGGGCTAGGATGGAAACTCAGTGATACACAGATCATCATTTTACTCGGTTCATAAAAACTGATGTAAAAAGTATTTCTGGGAAATTGAAAAGCTACATGTGGTGCTGTTCATGTTAAGACTATTTATAGACTGATCCAAAATTAAGCATAAGCAATGGAAAAAATAGTTCAATGCTTCAATCTTAGGTGGATGTTAAGGGACAGAGAGCCATGGATAAACACAAGATCAAGAAGATCACAAGGTACAGATGGAGGCATCTAAACTGATTTTACTATTTAGTCAATCAACCCAAAGGGGCATATAAAAAACTGGAAAAGGTAATCATGAAGAACAATAATAACTTGTGTCCCATAATATGGTCTTGGATTTAGTGAATAATAAAGTTTCTGACTAAGAATAGGAAATAGCAAGAGAAACTGTACTGGGCTGAGAGCAAGATCTGCTAATGAGTGTTTAGAGCTGCTATTCCCCAGCTGACGCCATATAGACCAGCCTGAGTGTGCTCTGGGCACAAGTTGCTACGTGAGCACAACTGCTAGCAAAGCAACCTCCTGGAAGCTCAGTAAACAGAAGCGGAGAGGAGGAGAGAGTGGGGTAGGGAGGGGGGAAATACTCATCTATCCATGTGAGCACTGCCTCTAACCTTCATGTTCAACAATGCACACAGCATTGCTTAGCATTTGCATACACTCAAAAAACACTCAATAAACAATATACACTTCAAACAAAATCTCAAAATTGTGGCACAGTTTGCATAAAGATATGGACAGTCTTTCAGCCTACTCAAAAGTCTTACAAGGACTCTACAGCTAGCCAGAGATTCTACAACTAGAAAGCTAAAGGATGTAGAGATTATGTTTCTTTAAAAAAGACAAATTCACAACCATGCGAAACAGATACTCCTTAGGAGTACTGCTAATATAAAAAAAAAAAAAAAATAAGTGCTACCAAAATATAAGGGGAAGGGGTAGAAAGAAAAGTGACCTTGACCAAAGCTGTCACCTCTCTCACCACCCATGAAGCAACATCTCTGCCTCCTTCTGAGAATCAGGATTATTCCAGAGCATGGAAAATGCAAATAAACACTTGGAAGTGAGAAAAAAGAAGTTAACAAGTGTAAAGCAGACATACAACAGGGGTTACCAAGAGCAAATATGTCAGCCTGTTAGCTGTTAACGTGAAAAGAAAACAGTATTCCTTCTTTGCATATCAAAACAGGTTTTCAAGTAACACCTTATTTCCTAAAAGATACATTCTGAATTTATGTAAATCTTAAAAAAAAAAAAAAAAAAAGCGCCTCATTTTAGTTACCAGGTTACTCACTGGCTTACCCGGACAGACACTAAGCTACCCATTTTCTTATTATTTTTTTTCAGCTGTCATGGTGAATTCAAGTTATGATGCAATCTTTTTTTGCAGAATCAAGTCGTTCTGATTTTTGGCTTCCCTAAAACCACGCTATCTTCAAGCTGGGCATTTACAGGATGATTACTAAGAATAACAAATCGCTAAGGGCAAGAGAGACATAAAATGTGAAAGTTTGTGGTCTTCAGGCTGAAATCCAATTCGGGTCCTGCTCTCTCTCTCTCAGGCAAAATAACTTTGAGACGCTCACTCTTCTTTGGAACTAGAAGCTATACTGGAAATAACGACCAGGGAGTGGGGCGGAGCCAAGATCGAGGGATCCAGAATAGTGTTTAGTCCGGAGGTCTGTGGAGATCTGAGGCCGGCGCTCCGGGTGTACCTCCCACCGCCCACCACCACCACCTCCTTTGGCCGCTCAGCGCGAGAATCGCGCACAGCCTCTCGCTCCTGCCGCCAGACCATGTATCTCGCTTACAGCTGGTGCACTGGAAGTTATGAGCACAAACAGATGCTGCAGCGAAATCTGTTTCTATTGCTCAACTGTTCCAAGCATGTCTCAGTATTTTTAGCTCTTGAGGATGTTCTGGTACGCACACAAACTGTATAGACAGGAGCTGGGACTCCGAAGCGTGAGACAGCGCTACAGGAGAATGACAGCTGGACACCTCTGGAGGAGCGGAGCCAGGACAGGAGCAGGGGGCAGTGTCCCGCGTCCACTCCCCAGGGCACGCAGACAGCAAGAGCGGAGGGGGAACACGCACACAGCCGTCCTTACCTGTTGCTGGCACGGGAGCATGGACACACGCAGTGGAAATGGGAGGTACAGAGGCATATAAGATCCAGTGGTTTGTAAATGTGAGTGAGCAGGAGCAAAACAGAATTCCCAAGACCCAGCTTGCCGGCGCCGGGAAGGCTGCGCGCTGGCCAGGGCTCCAGTGCGCTCTGCAATATCCTGGGCTCTTTTGAGGCGGTCCGCGCGATACCCCCGCGCTGGCTCCGCCCGCGGGCCGCTTTCGGCCAATCGCAGCCCGCGAGGAGGGGAGGATGCTACACCCGCGGCCGCAGAAGCTGCCAGCGAAGGGAACCTGCCGCCGCTTCCTCCTCCACCCTCCACCCTCGGAGCCCGTTCGGGGAGCCGGGCCGGCCAGGGGAGGAGGAAGTCCAGCCCGGCGAGGACTGCAGCAGGTGGGAAGCTCCGTCGCCCGGCTTCTGCGGCTGCCTAATTGCAGTCTAGCCTGAGTTGAAGCTTCCTACCCTTCACTGAGGCTGCTTTCCGGGTTCTCTCGGAGGTGGGACGTCTGTGCTGTTCGTGCTCCCGGAGGGGCTTACAAGGTGCTGGGAAGGAGCGCACGTCCACCAGGCGCGTTTTCCTCTCCGCCTCCTCGCACCCTGCACCAGCAGCGCGGGTGTAGCCCCCGATGCAGCGGGGGCGAGGGGGCCGGACCGTGGTCTGGGGTCACGCAGGACTGAGACGCGCGCACGCGTGGCCAGTGCTTGCTGCTTGGCAGAGGACTTCGACAGAGCTAAGCCTCTCTCCCTCTTTCTCTCTCTCTCTCTCTCTCTCTCTCTCTCTCTCTCTCTCTCTCTCTCTCATCTCTCTCTGGCTCGCTCTCTCTGTCTCTCTCGCTTTGTCTCTCGCTCTCTCGCTCTCTGTCTCGTCTTGTCCCTCCTCAGTCTTTTTCTCCAACCGCTAGGCACACTGGGACGATCTAAAATCAGAACAGCTAGAGGGTAAGGAATTCTCCGGAACGGCGACTCCTACAGAAACTGGGCTCTGTCCTCCAGCAGCGCCTCCCCCAGCCCTCATGCCCAGCAACCAGGCGAGAGCATGTAGAGAACCCTAGAAATCAATTTTACTGTTTCGCCCAGAGCTGGATCCTGGAACTGTAGACACCATTCAGTGTGCGCGTGTGGGTGGGTGAGTGCCTGTTACCTCGGAGGGTTTTTGGTGTCTGGAGCACGAAGCTGTGCTCCAGAGGGACAAGTGATACCTAGGAGTCCTTTCTTTAGCTAAGTTTGCAGTCCCTGCGTTTGTAAATGCTTATTTCCTCAAGCGAGAAAATGGGTCTTTCTAGCAGTTTATTTAGACCTCTAAAGGCCTCCTTGTCACCAAAGTACTTCAGATTAACTAGTATTCTGGGCGGTACCAGGGGTGGACTACGGGCTGTGGAAGAAGTGAAGCTGAGGACCAAGCTGGAAGGGTTGTGAGCTACACCCACCTTCTTGTCTCATCCTCTCGTGGCCCCTAGGAGGTGCTGGTGAAATGCGCTTAGTTTTTGCAGATTTCCGCTCGCTGCTTGCTGAGTTATCAAACCTGCCTTATTTCCTAGCGCAGAGCAAGACACTTCAATTAAACGGGTGTGAATAGGTCATGCACAAACTGGGAGAGTTCTGACAGCCCAGTGGCTTCGCTGACCATCTCACTTGTGGGGTTATGCAATATACAAGCCCTGTCACAAGTTCTGTGGCCTTGTAATACCTTGTAAGTGGAAATAGTGTCTCACACAAGGGGTCTGCTATAAAAAGTATTAGATCATGAAATATATACATATGCATACAAACACACGCACAGACACACATACACATACATATGTATCTTGAATTAAGTCTAAGAGGCAGATGCGTGTGTAAGAAGCTAGAAGCTGGTTGCACAGAAAATAGTAGCAATATTCAACAAATGGGATCAGATCAAATTAAAAAGTTTTTGCACAGCAACAGAAACAACCAAGCAAATGAAAAGATGAGGTACAGAATGGGGAGAAAATTGCCAGTTACTCTTTAGGAAACTAATATCTAGAATATATTTAAAAACTCAAAAAATTTAAATCCTCCCCCAAAAAGACCCAATCAAAAAATTGGTAAGTGAAATGGACACTTGAAAGAAGTACAAATGATCCATAAATATTTGATGAAATGTTCAACATCACTGAATATTACAGAAATAAAAAAAAATGGGGGGGGGGCACCAGGGATCAAACTGAGGACCTCACACTTACCAGGCAGGCATTTATGTCACTGAGCTAAATCCCCAACCCCAAGAAATGAAAATTAAAACAACACTGAGATTCCGTCTTTCCCCAGAAAGAATGGGCATTATGAAGGAATCAAGTAATAAAAAATGCTGGCCAGGCTGCAGAGGGAAAGAGACTCTTTTAAATTGTTCTTGAGAATGTAACCTAATATATGCACTATGGAAATCAGGATGGAGATCTCTCAAAAATTAAAACTATTGATTCCTTTTGACTCAGCTATTCCTTTATCTTCCCCAAAGAGTTAAAGATTTATTACAGAGTTGACATGCACACCCATATTCATTGCAGCACAATTCATAACAGCTAAATCTTGGAAGCAGCTTATACATCCATCAGGAGATGATGAGGTGAAGAAATTATATTTACACATAATAGAATACTAGCCTGCCACAAAGAAAGATAATCTTGAGTAATTTGTGGGAAAATGGATGCACCTTGAGACTATACTGTCAAGTGAAATCACTTGACAGTGCCTGGTTTCTCTTATACAGCAAACCCAAAAAACAAATAAAGAGCAAAGATAAATGGGAACAAGAAGATGCATCTTTCTCAAATAAGAAAAGATCAAAAGGTAGAGGGAGAGGGGAAGGAACAAGAATGAGAAGAGGAAGGAAGATGTATTACATACATGCACCAACTCCCCACAAACAGTGTAAACATTACACTCTGCAAAGATGTACTAATTTGACAGAAAGAATCCAGGCTGTATTCTAAAGCTAAAAGAATCTGAGTGTAGACCAATTAACTCTGTGTTGCTCAAATGATACCGAATAAGTTAACAGCACAGTCCACTTCAGAGTGTCCTCAGATATGTGCTGCCTTGTAGAGTTCTTCTAAGAAAAAGCTGAGGAGCAAATGAATGCCTTAAAACATATGAGGGCTCAATGGGAAAGGAAAATTAATCATTTGATACTTATTTTACGATGATTTAATTAGTGCCTCTGAAGATGGCTAAATATTTTCCAAGCCATATGACTTTAGAGGAAGTGACACTGTTTTTCCCCCAAGTGATGAACTTGTTTAAAAATCAGTCGAGAAAGGGATGCAATTTTTCTGAAACTTGCCTTGAAACTCTTTTACTTAATATTCTAACTCAAATAAATATACCACAGGCCAAGCTAGTTTCATATGGCAGGAGAAATTGTCATGGAAATGAGTGTAGTTATGCTTATTATGTTTGGTGGTGTAAATTTAGCCCTAAGAAGTATGTAATGGATGCGTAGCAGTGTTTCTCATCAACCATCAATATCCCCTTCTCTCATGGTTTATGTGATATGTAGCAAGGCTTATATACTTTGGAGAAGAAAGTTCATGAAAAATTAAGGATTTTATTAAGCAGATTCCCAGTACAAATAGAATATCAGTCCTAATTATTTAAAGAAACACAAAAGATTATATTCTTATAACTAAAACTTTGCAAATGTGTGATAGAGTTGTATAAATCCATTGTTGCATTTTAAAAAGATAAAAATATTTAAAAATATTTTAATTAACAAGTGACTTTTTGCTAAGTTCCTACCAGGAAAATTCTAATGTTCTAAAGCATCAGGATTTGGATAAATGTACTTTTGGGAGCGATGTGTGATACAGATTTCACCAGTCAATCTATCTTCTTTGGCTGAGTCAGGCCTTATTTAGCAAAAATGCCCATTAGTTTTGGACACCATCGCAGATGCGTGCTAGGATTCATCTGTGAATTAAATTTTTCCAAGGAAATAGCATTATGTTCCTACCGATTCCCTCCACGGTAACCACCTATAATGTTAGGGCCAAGTATCAGTCACAATCTAGATCTGTAATCAAATTGTGAATGGCTGTGTGGCACAGAAGGTGATTTGTTTTAATAGGAGCACAAATCTTTCTTTTTTACTTGTATGAAGATCTTCAACAATTAAATAGATTTGCAGAGCACACACACACATATATACACACACACACACACACACATTCACATTTCTTGTAAATACACATTTCTAATATATATATATATTACTTCAAATTCACAATAATAAAAACTACTGACATTTGGGTTTACTAGGTATTAACATCCATATACTGATCTACTGAGTAACAAAGATACTAAATAATACATAAATCCTTGTCTTATTGGCTTGAAATGCAGTCAGAATGAGTCTGCAATCTGCTACTTTGAGAACAGCTTATTAACTCTGATATTTTCAGGCATCTAACGTAAACTTACCTATGGGAAAATAGACTTGGCTTTAAAAATTTTGTGATTTTACTGGCCACTTTGATAATCAATCTCCATATTAAACACAATGAGCATATTTGCCAAATAACTACTTTAGACTTCAGCTCTGAGCTAGTCCATAGGGGTGGCAGGAAGACTTAAAAGAAACATTTTCCCCTTAGGAGAATTTAAGAAAACAAACAATGCACTGGTGAGATATTCAAGTGAGCAAGATTTAAAATGCACACAATTTTACAATACATAGTGGTGTTAAAGATGCTAAGAACATATCAAAAGATGAAATTTCCTCTGTCCGGTCAAGGCTCTAATAATGACCATTATATTCAGATAGTTCTACATACATGAAATCATATGTGTAGGCATCAGGATTTAATTCCATAAGCTCTGTTTGCATCACATCACAGAGATAAAGCCATCCTTACCTGGCATGCCTAGGATACAATGTTTTACAAAATGACTTGCTTAAATGATTGAAATTCATATGTGAAAGTTATTTTCTCTGAATTTTTATACATAAGCAACTCTGACTGATTGTTCCTATAGCAATATGCAGTTATACTAGAAAAAAATTTTCCCTCATACTGTTACAGAATTTTTGTTATATTTGTATCTATGTACCAATGGTGGACTTTTCAAAAATTCAATGCCGTGTCTTTTTTATATTAATGTCTTTATTGCGTTGCTTTCCCCCAGATAGATAAGTCAGTCTCCATAAACGTCAGCCCAATGATAAACAAAAGAAACAGAACTTCTTACCATACTGTGGTTTGAATAATGAATTAGTATAGTTGTAATAAATATGAACTCTTCCTTTTTACTTGCACTGCAGTCAGCATACCAAGGTACAGTATAGATACTCCTCCTAAATTAAGAGACCCTGGTTTAAATTGAAACACTTCTGCATGTTCTTTCTTCTCTATCAGTGGGAGTCTTCATGTTTTTGCTTCTGAAAAACATGCTTTGAATCTGTCAGGCCCTCAGGAAGCTCTGATTTGTTGATTCTAATCTGCACTGGGCTGAGAGGTTATGTAACCAAGGTTGTTAAAAATATACATAAAGTGAAAGCAAATATGAGCTAACACGTCTAA